GATGAAGAGGAAGAAGAAAAAGAAGGAAATGAGCGAGAAGATGAAGATGCAGTACTTGATATGTTACCGTCGTTTTCTCCCAATGCACCTGTTAGTCTTCTGTCGAATGTTGAGTTGGTCGATTCATTAAACTCCACTGCTCATGTCAATGGCTGGGGTTCAAATCTCAACACTGTAGAGTCTCAGTTTAGTGAAAATGGCAATGCTGGAGGTGAATACCCTTACACTCTCGTATTGGCTGACACCCGACAAGCATCTATGCGCTCTAGAAACGGAGGAGGAAAAGGAAATGGTGGAGCCCGACCGAAGGTCAAACATCTGCTATCCAATGTTGAGCTAGACTCGAACCACTCCTCTCAGCGACCCAGCTCTGGCAGCAGCCTGGCATCCCGTGCCTCAGCGACGTCCCAGCTGTCAGGAGAAAAGGCTGGCAGCCTCCGGTCTCTTGAAACAGACTCCTTCAAACCCGCGGGTAGTTCTGGTGGTGCATCGGTCAAGTCATCCTCTTCCCACTCTTCCGCAGCAATGGCTACCAATGTAGGACATGGCTCTCATGCTGTCTTGGACCAGTCCAATGGCAATGGTGCTGTGAATGAAGAGAGTGATCGAGGCATGAATGTGGAAGAGTTGGAGGAACTTCACCAGAACGATGATCGAGTGGTCGAGACCAACGTAAATGTCAACTCCAGTAACGCCGGCCGCATGACGCGGAAGTCTCGATCTCATCGCAGCAGGAAGTCGCGGCTCCACAGTGACAGGGACAGCACTCTGGACTCAGCCTACGTGGATGGGGACTACAGCGACGGCCACACCACGCAGCCCAACAGCATCATCATGGTGAACGGCAACAGCAGCGGAGTCAGTGGTGGCGTTTGTCACATGTCCACGGATGAGCTCACGCCCGAGGACAGTGGATTGGGTCCCGCGGTGACCGCTGGTCTTAACGGAGAGGAGGAGGAGCCCGGGGCTGGGTTGCCCAACTTCTTCATGCCTGTGGAGGAGCTCCAGGCCTCCATCAGAGCTTTACAGATGGCCACCTCGGCCGCCGTCAACGTCAGTGAGGTCAGTAGCTGGAGAAATGGTTTGCTCTCTCTTTTTTATGACCAAGGAAAGATTTGTCTGTGGCTAGTATTTTTAATGCTTAATTTTATAAATATCTTTCTGGATATGGAAAAGATACGTAAAAAAGCTTGAAAATATTTTTGTCACTCTTTTCAGACCTAGGAAGAATAGCTTTGTGGCTGGTAGAATGGTTTTTGTAAATTTAATTTTTATTCTTCAGGACACACAAAAGATAGATGAATAGCTTGAGAAATGTTTAGTTACCGCTTTTCTGACCAAGAAGAGGGTCTTATGGTTTATAAAAAGTTCTTTAAAAAAAAATAATTTTCTCGACAATTTGCTCTTTCGGAGAAAAGATATGTAAATAGTCTGGGAAATATATGATCAAAATGGAAAATAGATTTCAATATGGGAATAAGAATATCCACATATTGTCTTTTTTCTCCAGGAGGATGTGAAGTCACAGAATAAGGCCAAGGTCGTGTCGGAACTGGTCAACAAGATAGCGGCACCAAAGGCCAAGGCCACTCTTGCTTCCACGAAAAACAAGAAACCACCATCTGTTGAAGAAGCAAAGAGAATTGCCAAAATTTTCTCATCTAAGATGTCGTGATCTGGGAACATTTGAGAGTGCGCTAATTCTGTCTTGAATATGTACAGGGGAAGATCTACAACGGAGAAAATTATTATTTTCTTGGAAGAAATGGTTAGCTGTGATCACTTCACAGACTCGGAAGAAAATGTGTCTATTTAAGGATAGGTGTTTGTGTATGTGTTTGTGACTCTGATCATGGGGCATGCTGTTAGCTCAGTTAGTGTTGTGCTTGGCTACAATTCGGATGACTTTGGTCGAATCGATGATGGGGCAATCTTGAATTTGGGTTGCTGTATGAGTTTTCAAGGCTCTCCACCAACTTGGCTGGGTCCTATTTGAGGAGGGGAATTGATCTGTTAGATTTGGGGGTCCAGCCTCAGAGTAACCCTGTAATGTTGAAAGTTGTTAAGGCTTGAACTGTACCATGACTTTGATAATGATTATTTTCTGGCCGTTATCAGTTTGACTGCGGCTGCTAATTACTTGTGATGCAAGCATGGGATTGCCATGTCACGTCACAGATAGAAAGTCATTTATGTCTTATTCTGACTTTGCACCTTCTATCACACATACACACACACACTCAGACACACAAATATAAACACACACAGACTCACGCGCATTCACACACACACACAAACACACACACACACTCTCTCACACACACACACCCATGTACTCACACACACACACACACACACACACACACACACACACACACACACACGCGCTAATTTTTCTCCTGTAGCATAATATTGTATGTAACTGTCTAGTCTTTTTCTGTTATTTTTTTATTCTGGCCTGTGACTTAAGTAGCCCTACACATAGTTTTCTGTATGGTTTTGACGTACCCTTTTCCTGTCAAGAATCCAGTGTTGCCCATAGAATCTTGCAGAATTATGGAGTATTGTTTTCTACAGAGACTTTTAAAAAACTTTTTTTTTTTGGTATCTGCTTTGTGTAAACTATAAATACTTGTACAGAATTTGTTCTTTCTGTGAGCTGTGAGTGTGAGAAGGGGTTGTGGGGGTTCTAGTCACAAGGCTGACCTATGTAATTCCTCTCAACCCTACCTTTGGCCTTGTTTTGTATAATGTGAGCACTTACTATATCAATAGATATATTTGTATGTATCCGTGCATACTTCCATTCGTTCCCTCCTTCTGTCTCTCTCTGTCTTTTTTTTGGTGTTTTTTATTTTAAGTTTTAAGGCCTGTTGGTTTAGTGTGCAGACACAAAACAAAGTTTGTTTGCTTTTAATGTGCCTAACTCTTGTTACTGAACATTTTGTTTTGCTTGTGGCTGTAGATAGGCCCCTATTTGATACATGTTACTTGTGGTTATTATGGTCTTAAAGAATTTTTCTCTTTGTGATGACCTAAGTCAAAGCCTGTGACTTTTGTAGCCATGGTGTACCGTGTACTGAGGATCTGTTGATTGTTAGACATTTCTTTTTTTTTCTTTTAGCCCTTTCCAAGATTGGTGTATTTGAGATCTGTGGGTATGTTCGCTTTGCATGCCTTTGCCTTATTATTATGTCAATATAGCTTTTACTTACAGGAGGTAGTGTCTGTACACGTAGGCTGTAGATCTGACAGGTTTTTTTTTTGTCTTTAACACATATATGTGTTGATATATATATATATTCTGTGTATTGTAACATTGGCCACAAGGAACCAGGGGGTGTTGTAGTGAGTGGGAGAAAGTACATTTGTACAGTGTTGAGCAGCACGTTCAGACATGTCGTGTCTGTTTGTACATAGAATGGTGTGTGCATGTGTTACAACCGTGGGTTTGTATGTATAAGAGTCTGTGTGTGTGCACATGTGCCAAAGAACACCAACGAGAAAGCTTTAAGTCAAAGTGAGCATATGCCTGCGTGTGCATGTGTATTTATGTCGTAGTACCTGATGTTACTCTCCAATGATGTGCCTGTGTGTGTGTGTGAGTGCTTATGATGTGTGAGTGCATATGTATGTATGGGTGGGTGTGTATGTGCGCGTGTGTGTTTGTGTGTGTGTTAATGTCTGAGTACCCAAGTTCACCCTCCAATGACGTGCATGTGTGCTGGAAATACTGAAGAGGCTTTATCTCTCCTGCACAGACTGAAGACATTCCTCACTGTTGTGCCACTTACACTACAGGTCTACCATTGGAAAAAGATCAATTTTAGTTACGCCTGACATAAAACTTAAAATTTTATTTTTATCTTGCTCAATATGAAATTATTTGAACTTTCAAAAGTTCTTTTCGTCCTGTTTCAGCCATTTTCAAATTTAATGAGCAGTGTTATCTTTTGTGTTTATGATTCAGTTCTTTTGCAGCCTGTTGTGCTGATTTTAATCTGACTCGAACATGAGAAGAATTAATAGACTTGAAATTTTGAATACTTGTGTGCCTTGTATGTGCTGCGCACAAGCTATGCCTTTTCTTTATGCTAACCCATCATCGTAGATTCACTTAGTATGCAACACGTTGGTCTTCCTATGTCATGGAGGGTGCTCACAATTCCACTTGTTGAAATACATAGTTGTGCTGTGGTGTTATTCAGCGTTTAAATTGTTGATTAAGATTTTTCGCACTTTTTTAAAGAACGTTGAATGAAGTTAAGGTAGATGTTGAACTGTGTGTTGTAATATTGGAATTGTTAAATAAATGTCTTGTCTGTTGTGGAAACAGGGGGTGGGAGAGTTCTGGAAGCACTGGTGGATGAACATGAGAAAGTTTGCGACTGTTCGGAAATAGCTCTCTGAGACTGTAATTTAGTGTAATACTCTGCAAAAAAGTTGAGATGAATTTTGTGCATGATGTATTTTTGTACTTCAAGGCATTCTGGAGTGAGGGGACTCCGCAAGGGCAAGCTAAAAAAGCTTTCTGTGATATTGTGTGTTTTCTCAATGTTCTTTTCTTGTATGTTTGATATCCATTTCATGACATTTTTGTCCTTTGAGGATTTACTCATCAGTAAATATGAATGTTGATTCTAATGAGGAGGTAGATTCTTCTGTTCTGTTTCATGGCTCTTATTTTGTAATCCCCCCCTCCTTTTCTATTTGGAACAGCCCCTATTATATCTTTGGATTTCCAGGTTTATATGTACAAAGTCCCTAGTTAGAAAAAAAAACCCAGCTTGTTGAAATTTTCAGGAGTGTTGTTTCTGTGAAGGGGAACTCTTTATGTAGAAAAATGATTCAGAAGTGGCTACGGGGCACACAAGTTGTCACTCATAGATGAGATGCTTTCTATGACTGGTTATCGAGATGGACGTAAATGCATTTTTACTTTACTTTTCAATACAAGTTAGTCCCACTAGAAGTGGTGGCCACTTGGCCAGTAGCTGGAAGCCTCTCACATAAGGTCGTCACAGACTGAATTCCAGGCACAATGTGTTTGCTGAACCTGACTCATGATGCGGCCAGCAATGTGTGTAGGAAGGAGGGGGGAGTGTATAGGGTCGAGTGAATCTGAGCCATTTTGATATTTTGGGACATTTTCGAGGCGGAACTCAGTTTAGGATCCCTGTTTGTGTTTTTAGGCATTTCTTAAAATGGCAGTGTGAGTGAGACCTGTGATTGCATGCAGGTAACTGACGTAAATCCCGTGGTTGCTGAGACAGAAAGAGGGAGGCATTTATATGCTCGCAGAGAATACAGTGGAACCAATTCATTGGAATTGAAACCCGAAGCATTGAACAATATTGTGTTGGAGAAGTCCTTTTAAAGCTGTGAACTTCTGTTGAAAGTGTCCAGTGTCGATAATGTTTAAGTATTTAATTTTGTTGTATACTGAGATACTGATACCAAACTAAGAAAAATATGGGAATTTTCATGGAAACCATATCTCTTACTTTATAAGTCTCTTTGACCTTGATTACTGGGTTTTGTATTTAAACGTTAGAATGATGGAAGGAAGAAGTCGCTCACAGGTTCCTCGAATTGTTAGTACCAAGGAGTAGTTGTATGGTGAGCTGGCGGAGATTGTCTGTAAACCATGCCTGCTTGTATAGTAGTTTATTCCCTTTTCTGTACACTTCATACTACAGTGGGTGTCGCATTCAACGAGGTTGCCGGGACCGGCTTGTTGTCCTTGTTGGATCCGACCTCTCGTTGAACGTGACTAAGGCTAAAGAAAAGAAAGGAGACAAGTTAGTATATTACTTGATGTACCAATACCAGTAATTAAAACGGTTGTTCTCCCTGATGACAAAAATCTCAAACAGGATCAGTGTGCGCGTTTGAGCGAGGCACACTAGTTCTAGCAATACAATTGTGTTGGGAATGGAGGATGGGCCTTGTGTTTCGCGTAAGATGAAGAGAAAGGAGAAAAATTATTCAGCGACTTTGCAACCTCGTTGGAGCCGACGTTCATATACAAAGAGATATAGAGGGAAAAATCGGGGATTAAGGATTGCCTCGTTGAAGCCGACTTCTCGTTGAATGTGACCTCGTTGAATGCGACACCCACTGTAATATGATAATAGGGTACACTTTCTTTCTGCTATACTATCTTCCTTACCGCGTAGTCTTTTGCCTGTCTCTGGTGAGTGTTGTGTTTGACTTGATAACACAATGAACAAAAAATTCACAAGAATGCAAGAATGTCAGTTTATTTAAACTATGTACTCTTCCATAGGTCGAACAAAGGCGTATACCAAATAAATTATTTGTGTCTGCCAATGTACTGTAGTAGCTAGTCATGTTCTACTCATTATAATAAGAAATTAATAATATTATTAATAATAATAATAATAAGGATAATTATATAATAATCCGTCCAATGAAATGTTACATTGTCATTTGTAAAATGAGGAAAGACAAGGAAAAAACGTTTTTTCCACTTTCAAATAAAGAAACAGAAATGGGAAAAAAAAGGCTGAAAAAATATGTAAGTAAATTCATTTTCATAAGGTGATTTTCAACACATACCAGCTACCACCTTTATAAAATTAAAAGGAATGCCCCTAACTTGAGATCTGGAGTAGATATTGTATCTGTATTTCAATGGTGTTGAGCTTTGACTTAGCCTCGTCTGAGATTTGGGACCAGTTTTCTCTTAAATCTAGTCACAAGATTTGATCCTTTACATCCGATGTAGAAGATCTAGTTAGTTACATTTGTACCGACAACCCCCCCCCAACCAGTATAAAGTGCTCAAACTTCATAGTTTGATAGCAATAGAGGTATAATTTGACAGATTTTTCAATTTTTGTAAAAAAAACAACCCCAAAACCCCCCTCCCCCCACCAAAAATTAAAAAAAATAGCAAATAATAAAAAATCTCAAGAGCAAAAACATTCTAGATCAACACCATTGAGATATAAGTATGGATATCACAGTAAGCATGGGTTTATCACAGTATATCAGCGGCCTAAGGTGTATGTATTGGTTATCCTCTTCGCCATTGCATGCAGAAGACAGGAGATTGAGTCTTTTGTGGGGTTCTCTTGTGCTGAAAGTTATTTTATCGAGTATCTCCAATTGTCTGCTGAGATGTTTTATCCCACACAACCCAGGTTGGTCCAGACAGGCAAGGTCGAAGCGACTCGCCTCTTTAACAATCGTAATTGTGCTGATTGGGGCGTCAACATTTATTATTATCACAATTATCACAGTGTGCAACAAAATAATTTTTCGGGGCTAACCCTAGTACTAGTACTTTGGGCATCACTGGATAAGGATGCATGGCTAATGTTAAAGATCACAAAAACAAAAGCCAAAGAAGAAAAAATGCTTGTTGCGGCTGGCTGTTGAGCTGCAATGAGTCAAATAATTTGATCTACAATGAGTCAAATAATTTGATCTACAATGAGTCAAATAATTTGATCTACAATGAGTCAAATAATTTGATCTACAATGCAGATGTTTGTTTCCTGATTGCAAACCGAGCAGAGTGAAAATATTTTCCTCGTCCTTGGAATATTTAGTCAAAGACAAGAGGGGGACCTGGTTCTCTGCCTTTGAGGTAACCTAAATAATGTCTAGGAGGGCGATAGACTTAAAATCTAAATAAACCACCAAAACAATTGTTGAGATATGTGCTAAACACCCAAAACAATTGTTGAGATATGTGCTAAACACCCAAAACAATTGTTGAGATATGTGCTAAACACAATGGGGAAGAGGCTGAATAAGAATATAAAAATATTTTGGTTTGGAAGATCTTCAAGAAACAGTTGCTGTTAAGCCAGGATAACAATGTTCCTTTTTTGTAGCAACAAAAAGGGAGCAAGGGAAGGAAATATTAATGAAGAGAATCATGTAAATTCATTTTCTCATAACTGGACAAAAACAGCGAAGGGGTAAAAGGCCACCAATGATACCTCAAATGACATTGTACATCTTGTTTATACTTATTTATTTAAAGCTCTTCAAGTTCTTACTGCTATTATTCTGTACTATTATTGTTCATGTCCATGAATAAATATTTATATTTATTACGACCTAAATTTGTAGATTTTATTTATTTATTCCTAGTGTACCACCATTGAGATCTTGTTGTTTTTTTTGTGTCACTGGTTTGAAGAATCTGACATAAGAAGTGCCATGGATTGGGTTCTTACCTGGCTCTCAAAGGACACACCATAAAGGTATCTACTGAGGGTACCTTACTCAGCTTCAGTTGGCAGGCAGGGTAGATGCAGACTGATTCTTTGCCCTTCAAGGGATGGTTGCTATTGATAATAAGCTGAGTTTATCAGCTAAATTTTTATACTTTCCATGAATACCAAGCCCAAAAATTGAACAGGAGGTTTTAAGTAAGAATTTAACAGCACTTGCAACTTGTTTGGTCATATATAAGTGCTGAAGCAGAGAGGTGATACAAGAGAGTAACGGGAAGAAAATATTCCTTTGTGGTATATGCCTATCACTAGTTCTGGGAGCATTTTTCTTTGATCTGTTAAGCATTGCATTTTGCTTCTGTTGTGGAATAAACTATTTTTGGGGTACTGTTGATATACATTTGTCATGAAAGTTAGAAAAGCATGACATTACAAATGTCACAAGACTTGCCCACATAGGAAAGAAGCATGATAAGCACAAAATGCAACATTAATTCTACAAATTTATGTACACAGGTAAAAAGATTTTACGATAATAAATTAAAAACCAACATGAAAGGCACCCATGAAATGTGATAAATTTCATACAATTACAACGCGAAACTCTTGAAAGAACAAAAACTCATCAAGTCGGTTCAGATTCATCAGATCAGTCAAACAATATAATTGAAAATACATTAGGAAGAAAGACATCAATGTCAGGGAACTCACCTAATCACAACCTCCTTCTGAAGAATCTGGTAACTCATCTGATTGTAATTTTTTAACCCACTGACTGTGGACAGGCATTCTGTTAATTTGACAAGGCTTGAAGCCTTCTTTTTTCATACCTATTTTTCAATTCTGTTTCTTTCTCTGAAACTTAAAAAGATGGGCAACAACATGCACAGCATGAAATATGCGTATTTTTGTTTTTTAAATTTAACATACGTGTCTGCTGTGCCCGTAACACTTTGCCACCACAAGGCTCAAATAGTTAAAACTCTTGCCATCAAAGGCAAAGGCATTTTGGGGAAAATCCAAAGAAACGGAGGAAAACACCGCCGATCTGCGGGATGAGGCGATAAAGTGTTAAACAGTTAAGCTGGCAGAAGTAAGCCAGTAGTAACCCTCTATCTTCAGATGTACTCACATTCTTAGTGGTGTACCAATTAGCCTCTTTATCATACAGTACAGGCTATAAAGGCAAGGGTTCAATTCTTGTGTTGGAAAGTTTTTATAGAGTATCTTGTTTTACCATATTTATTGAGATTTAAAAAAAATATGTTTGCCCATTCTTTTAATCAACAGTTGAGTTAGACAGACACTCCTGTCGCCGCTTACATGACTCAAATTGTGTCAATAGAGCAGTAAAACATCCACTCTATCAAAAAATCAACAGGCAGGATCAAAGCAGCCCAACTCCTAAATGATCTAAATTGTATTGATGGGGGCTGAATTAACAAAATTACAAATCATAAAATATGGGAAATAGATAAGGATCAGCTGTCTAGATTAGCACAACAAATAAAAAACCCAAGAGTTTGTTTATCATGTATCACACATCACATTCTTGGTAGCAGGAAATCGTATCATGACTCACCAGTAAATGCTAAGGATCACAGGAAGACAACAACATTCTTTTTTCCAAGAATCAAAAATAAGAAACAGGAATTAGGTCATGTAGACTGAACCAGCTGAAAACCTTGCTTCATTGACGACACAAGAGTAAGAAAAACTAAATGGCTAAAAATGGGTCAATGTAGGTGTAAAACATTTTACAGTTACCATTGGAAGACCGTAAAACTTTTGCAGGTATTAACAGCAAAATGTTTGTCTACAACGGCTTTACCTTCTTTGTGTTATGTTAATTTAAAAGAAGAAAAAAAATCTATTAGGAACAATAAAGTTAACAATTTTGATTTACAGCTAGATATGTGACTTGTACAAGGCAAGAAGAACATATCACATAAAAAAATAAAATCATATAAATGAAACAATCAAAGCATGCTTACCACAGCAAGCACTATTTTATATTAAAAATGAAAATTAACAGTGCTGAGGTGTAAAATCCCGTTTGAGAAAACTGCATTGTTTAATTTTTGTTTGACAGGCACAATTTCTTCAGAAAAAAAGTCCTGAGCTTAAAATAAAAGACAATTATCAGGAACAGAACTTCAGCTTTAAGAAGTGCAACAGTAATATTTAAAGAAAAAAGAGCTTAAATTATAATTAAGGAAAGAGAGCTTAAATCATACGAAAACGCAAACTAAACTGCAGTCATTAAAAAATATCTTGAATTCAGGATATATTGCAAGAACACCTATCCAGGTAAAGTACCAGGTATGTAAAGAACAGAATGATAAGGAATGGTATGGGTTCAAATCCCCTTTCAACACCACTGTTAATAAAACGTAGGTGGTGGTATCCTACACTTCCAAGGCATACATCCATTTACCTACATGTACTAAAGCTACAAGAAACATTTAAACATTCCGCCCCAGTGTGAGACAAACAGCTTCAGCCCTCCTCCGGTTCCTGATAGGTGACTTTTCTCGACCTTTTCCCATCTTTTTTCTCCTCCGCTTTCTTCATCCACGTTTCTTCAATTCTCTTCCTGGCTTCCGCCTCCTTCAGCGCTTGCTCTTTCTGCCTCTCTTCTCTCTTCAAGTCAATCACCAGCTTGACACAAGGAGCCAGAGGGGCTTGTTCCACAAACTCACTCCCTGTTATGACAAAACGAAAAAAGATAAACAGCTGGGAACAGATAATATGAACATGGAAAACTCAAAATTATGGATATCTCCATACAATTTGCCAAACCCTAACTGATATCTCTGCAATTTTTTTACTATATCCTTTACCTGAATTATGGATGTCTTGAACACATTTGTTAGCCCCTGACATGTTTGCACCTCATTGACACACTTTAAATCTTTAACTCTTTAAACCCGCTGGGAACGTCCGACGGTAATAACTCTATTCCCCCAGCGTCCCCGATACTAGTGACAATTGTTTCGTTTTATTTAGAGCTAGTTTTTGCTTGCTTTTCGGAACTAGTCCCGAACCAAGTCTTTTAATAATCACTAAGCATATGTGAAGCGTGCTGACAAAATGAGTTACTTCTCGGATTTGACCCCTTTGAAAATAGATACATTATCATGTTATAGGTTAAGTTTTTACAATTTGTCAGTATGAAATAACAAAAAGCATTTAGTACTCAATGAATATTGCATCAAGAGAAGACCTAGAAACTTTTCCCTAGTGTATATTTTTAGCCAATATCTGCATTTGTGGATTGTGAGAAGTAACTCATTTTGTCAGCACGCCTCACATATGTTTCCGCTATTTAGAAGTTGGAGGCAAACTTTTGGGATTATAATGAGACATAGTGCACCAGGTTTAGGTGAGTGTAGAAAAAACTCTGGGAAACGGTGGAAAAAACTGCAGAGTTAAGAGGCAGGCTGCTTCAACCCTGTTTGTCAGGTCCAACCAGGGTTGAGAGGAACACAAAATCTCATCAGACGGAAGGAAATATTAAGTAAGAAAGATACCTCCTCACACATGCTTTCAACAGTTCAATGATCAAGGATACATCACTACATCCCATGCAAAAAGTGCCACATTCATACAAGAAAGAATAGTGTAATAAGTAATAACAGTTTCAATAAAATGAGTACAATCCTGAAAAACAGAAACATCTCAATGGTAACCAAAATAAGAATTTTAAATGCGTAAGGGTGGCCAATGTCTCTGTATGGCTGTGAATGCTGGACAATTGCCAAAGACAGTGAAAATTAAATGAAAGCAACAGAAATGTGGTTTCTTAGGAGACTGCAGAGAATTCCATTGAAGGTAAAGAAATCAATTGAGAGATAACTGAAAGAATTTCAAGCGGGCCTCTCACTAATCAAAACAATTAGGAAGAGAGAAATGCAGTTTCTGAGACACTTAAATAAACATAAGGGCATCAAACATCTCGTTGTCACTTGAAAATGGAAGGAAAAAGAAGCCGTGGTAGACCAGAAACAATCTTCTCATAGAACTTGACCAAATGGGTGATGGGGAAAGACCAGGACAATATAGGTTTTTTGAGAGCATCAGAGCAGAGAAAGGTGTGGTGAACTAAGATTGCCGATGTCTATTTCACATCTGGTACTTCATGATAATGCTGAAGATGATGATGATACTTTCCTTTCCTCAAACTTCTTATCAAATTCCTTCTCCTGCACAAGAAATATCCCCGTAAAACTATCTTACTTTTACAGGGATTGAAGGAAAAGAAATCAGACGAGGTTGAACTGAAAGAAGTCCATGTTGACCTCTCACTAACAATCTCGGCAGTCTCCACATTTCTGTCGCTTCCATTTTATTTTAACCGTCTTTGGTAATTTCCAACATTCAGAGCCATACAGAAAGGTTGACCACCCCTACCCATTTAAAACTCTTATTTTGGGATTGTTTTTCCTTCAATCCCTGTACAAATTCCCTGAACTCAAAGACTCTGGCTCACCGAGTAACTTCCTCGCTTCCTGCCCGTTAATGATAGGGTTCATCCAAGTGCTTTGCCGGGTGTTCTTCAGTCCCGTGGCGGGAGGGACGTAGATGTAGAAGATCATGTCCATCAACTCTTTCTTCTTCATGCCTTGGTTACCTCTCTTGTTCGCTTGACCTTTGATTTGAAGGAGAAAAAGATACAAAATTGATTTAAAAGAGAAGACGAAGAAAAAAAAAAGTTTTCTTTCATTGTTATACAGGACTCAGCACACAGGACAGAGGATGAGGTTTTATCTCCTATTTGTTGGTTCTTAAATTTGAAGGAAAAATTCACAGAATCAATTTAAAAGACCCCCCAAAAAAGACATTTTTTTCATTCCTGAAGAGGACTCAGCAAACAGGACAGAGAATGTGGTTATCGCTCTCCTGTTTGCTCTTTGATTTGAAGGAAAAAAATGAAGAATCCATTCAGATAAAAAAAAAGAAAGAACTTACCATGCATGGTGACATCCATGGCCTCCTCTATCTCGGCCTGCGAGGGGTAAAGGTCACACTCCTTGAAGAATGCCTCCACGTCCCCCTGCTCCAACTCTCCGCCAAACGACTTCTTCTCAAACACACTCTCGTAGCCTGCGCAGGGACAGGAGAAATAAAACAAGAAATTGTTACAAGATGTATATACAATTCTATTTGCAAAGCGAGCTGGCAAAATGAGTTACTTCTCGGATTTGAGCTCTATGGAAATAGATACATCACGCTTATAGGTGAAGTTTTTTCAATACATGAGTATGAAATAATAAAAGGCATGTTATACTGAAAGAATTTGGCATAATAGAAAATCTACAAAGTTGACCCAATTGTTGATTTCTGGCCAATATCTCCACTTGTGGATAGCGAAAAGTAACTCGTTTTGTCAGCACGTCTTATATGTACAGTTTGGAACAGATAACAAAAACAATGGAAACTTAAAATCACGGATAGTTTGTACAATTTGCCATTTCCCAACTGATAATACTGATATCTCTTTAAATTTTTAAAAATCGGCTAACCTGATTTATGGTCAATCATTTGTCAATCCCTGATTTGTTTAAGTCATCCGTGTATGATGGAAAATGAAACAGAATCTAAAGGAATGGAGAGTCTTGTGCTTGTGCACACGTGTATGCATGTGTGTGCACTTGTGTGTGTGTGTGTGTGTGTGTGAGTGTGAATGTATGTCTGTTTACCCATGCATCGGTGTGTGTGTGTGTGTGTGTGTGTGTGTGTGTGTGTGTGTGTGTTTGTGTGTGTGTGTGTGCATGTGTGTGAACATAGAAGTGTGCATCTGAGTGTCTGTATGCGTTTGCTCAAAAGAATACGTATAAGTGTGTACAGGTCTAGGTATGTGCATCCATGTGTTCACTCATGTGACCATTAAAAACATTATAATTTCATTAATTTTCCTTAAGCTGTATTTTTTTTTTTTTTTTTACAAAAGCACTCGACAATTAAAACATTATTTCACAACAATTTTAAAGATCCACTTATTTTCAAACATCCTGATGATCAAAACATTATTTATTTATTTGATTATTCTTAAGAAGTATTATTTCTTAAATATCCCGAAAATCAAAACATTATTTCATTAATTATTCTTAAGGGATACTTATTTCTTAAACATTCTGACAATTAAAATATCACTTAATTAACTATTTCTATATAACAACATAGCAGTTAACCCCCCCCT